CCGCAGTACCCAATAGGGATCTCATATCCTCATGTAGTCGACTATTAAAGATTCGTGGGAGTATGGAGTTAAATTAGGACTGAGACTCTACTTTTGGGAAAATTAAACCCGTTTTCTTGGGTTACCATTCAAGTAGAAATAATCCGAGAGGAGTCTAAAAGAATGAGTGTTCCGCCCTTTGACGGACGGATGCCTCAGCAGAGAGGGAGGGAAGCGGAGGGTGAGGAGAGGAGACAGGAAGGCAGGTCATCCTTCTCTCCTGGTTTAAGACGGACGAACGGACGGGAGAGGGAGGGGGGGGCAGAAAGACGGAACCTTCCTCAGCATTTTCTTCATCCTCTTCCATCCTGGTAATCAAGGGACGACCTCTCTCTCTCTCTCTCTCTCTCTCTTACACAAGGGATGAGTCCCTCTGGCCCTTACTCATATGGACGTTAGGACTAAACAAGATTAGTCACATCTCTCTCTCTCTCTCTCTCTCTCTCTCTCTCTCTGCCCTTCAGCCCATACCGACACAAACAAGATTTATCCAGAAAATGTAATCTAGAGGAAGGGAAACTACTTTGGAAATATGGACACGAGGCTGAAAAGAAAATATCTATAGGCCTATAACTACACGGCCTAATAGACACGTACAGACGCCTGCATTACGTCATAATAGACACGCACAGACACCAGTATCACGCTATCTATTATATAACCACAAATTGTTGGAAATAATATACTATACTTATAATGATATAATTCTGGGCAGATAACATGATATAACTTTATGTTTGCTAATTATCAGAACATTTATGGAGGAAATATTTTTGGTTATCTTCAGTAACTCAATATCTTTCATGACCTAACTGATGTATGTGTTTTTGTCTTGTGGGGGGATGTTGTCTTCACGGACTTATAAATATACTGATCACTTTAATAAAAAAAAAATATAAAGTAGATTTTTTGATTACCGCCGACCACCAACTAATAGATATGATCTAATACATTATTTAAGGAAGACTCCGAAGATGAAGAAAAAAAACTTTGACCAGAACTTTTATCCTAGAACGTTTAGAAAATAAAATATACGAGAAAAAAGACAACTTTACACTGACAACAAAAGAAAAGTTGGTAAAAGAAAAGTTTATGTACTTACTTGGGCACGAAGTCATATCAATTAACCCGAACTGTCTCTAAACAACAGGTCTATACCAAACCTTGAGACCTGAATCATCTAACCCACTTAAATAACCTCAAAATTTTAAAGATAAAAGACGGTGTATATGTGAGAGTCTCAAGAAGAAACACCTTATGAGTTGTCTTTCAAGTATAATAAAACTGATGTGTTGTATCTATAATGCTTTTGAGATGTGGGACAAATACTTTATGGACATCCTGTATATTTGAAGACGAGGAAACGTAAATAAAGGAAGAAAGATCAAGAGAGAGAGATACAGTACAAGGTGGCTGTCTAATCGTGGTGGTCACTTTGTTCGGTAAAACACAGAAGATTACTGATGACTCTTACCAAACTATAGCGTTAAAGAAGGAGTTTATGTGTCCTAATCTCTTTTAAGAAACAATCAACATCTACAACACCTTTGAGTCTTGAGTTGATTATTTTGGGTCAAGACGAATTTCAAACGACGGATGAACTTCGCACCCATTTAAATACAAAGATAAAATGCGTATATCTTGCTGAAGTTTGGTTACCATCAATAACAGCGATACCTGAGAAATTAGATATTAAGTATAAAGCCAAAACTTGCGGTACGGACATAGCACACTGTATACTATGTACTCGTTATACAGAGACACAGAACATGACAGGCACTGCACTCGACTGCCTTCACTTCATCAACTGTAAAATTAGTGGCCATTCACAGCTGGATGAACTGACGGGGATGCTAACCAACGGCCCTGATGGCAGAAAATGAGTGCTCGATTCACTCAGCCACCCGCATCCACCACTTTCAATAAACATAGAGGAAAAAGTAAAATTTTGCGCCCCGCCCCACCCTGCTCCGCCCCGCCTCCCCCTGGCTTGATCTCTCTCTCTCTCTCGCTCCCTCTCAAACTTTCACTTAATTCTACAGTAAGAGGGAAGAAAAAGTTAGCCAGTAAGTTAAGCATCAAAGACGAGGGAACAGACCACGAAAAACATACCGCCAACAGATCCCACTCCTAGTCTGGCTCTAAATCCGCCTTCGAATCCTATAATGAATCTACCTTCGAATTCCTCTTTGAACCCGTTTCCGTATCATCCTTTGAAACTATTTCCGAATCCTACTTTGAATCCAACTCTGAATCCGGCTTTCAATCTATTCCCGAATCCTACTTTGAATCCGACTCCAAATGATTTACAGCCACGGTTCGAATTCACAAAGAAACAACATTAATTCCGTCCATTAACGAGCATAAATAAGGTATGGTCTCAATATGATAAGGAGGCCATTTTGGACGTTAAGACACACTAGACCCCTCTTAAATGCGGGGTCCAAATGGGGTAAAAGGAAGATGGTGGAGGCATGTGTTATGAAGGTGGGAGAGAGAAAGATGATGAGACGGTAATGGGGTGAGAGAAAACGGGCGATAAATGAGGTAGAGAAGATGATAAAAGGGTGAGAGGAAACGGGCGATAAATGAGGTAGAGAAGACGGTAATGGGGTGAGAGAAAACGGGCGATAAATGAGGTAGAGAAGATGGTAGAAGGGTGAGAGAAAACGGAGAAGACACCATGTCGTAATGGATTTATAAATCTTCTCTCACACATATACAGCGCCAATGTATCGCTGGTGATACATATACGTAATGGTATTCTGTAGATATTTTACATGATCATTTGTATGCATATGAAGGAAACATATGATGGGAGAAGGGCGGGGGGAAGGAAGGTATGGAAGGAGGAGGAGGATGAAGGAAGGAAAAAAAAGGGGTGAGGGAAGAATGGAGGGAGGGAGGGAGGGAGGAAGAAGAAAAAAGAGGAAGGAAAGAAATAGAGGGAAGGGAGGAATGGAAGGAAGGAGCGAAGGAGTGTGGATGGCTATGCAAAACCTGAAGGCATGGAGGACGACTTAACTTAGCCTCTCTCTCTCTCTCTCTCTCTCTCTCTCTCTCTCATTCATATCCTGAAAGCAAATTATTACCAAAACTCAATCGGCGCTTCCATCCGGCCGTTCGCTGGGAACATTTTTATCTTATTTTCGTTTCCTTCCATCAAAAAATACACACTCGGACACACACACAGAAGAGAGTTCACTCCTCTATACACGTGTCCCATCCTGGATCTTCTGTGTTAGGTTAGGTTAGGTTAGGTTAGGTTAGGTTTGGATTAGATTAGATAAGACAAGATTAGATTAGATTTATGTTGGGTTGGGTGGGGTTGGGTTGGGTTGGAATGGGTTAGGTTAGGTTAGTTATGGTTAGGTTAGTTAAGCTTGGGATTAAATAATGTTAGGATAAGTCGGTGAAGATAAGAATAACATCACTTTTATCTAGAGAAGATTTACATGTATTGAAAAAAAATAAATACAAATTAAAAAATAAAAATAAAATAAAATAAATAAACTCACCAGAGATTCAGAACTTTTCTCTGGATATAACTTCCCGACCTAAGAATAAACAAAAGACCGACATAAAGATAAAACAGAATTAAAAAAAAGTGTTTTAATCCACGAGTTGAATTATCTCATTCTGTCTTCTTAAAACCGAAGGAGGAAATATTTATCTCCCAAAAGAACCACCGTAAATAAAACAAAAATAAATAAATATATAAAAGATTCAGTCGTCTCTCAAAGTAGAAAAAAAAATACACCTCTGCAATAAACTTTTGAACCTTTCTTAAATTTTGTCGATATGAATATTCCTTTCAAATATACACGATGATTCAGCAATAGCAATATAAAGAGTCTCTCTCTGTCTCTCTCATACCAAGAATAACAATGTCAGGGCTCTCTCTCTCCCCCACACATACCAAGAATAACACTGTCAGGTCTCTCTCTCTCTCTCTCTCTCTCTAGTCCCCGTAAGCCCTTTAACTTGATTACTTTCCCAGAGTAGGTCAGAGCCTGAAGATTTATTTTATTTTATATAATTTTTTTTGGTATGAAGGTAAAAGCAAAAGGTCTTTCTCCCAGCATATTTTAAATTCTTCAGTCCGCTTTAATGTGCCACAGAATGGATACTATTTCCTCTCTCTGGCTATGGCAGAGATGAAGGCAATTTCCAGATTAAACATCTACCCCCACCCTACCCCGCAGATGCCTTTCACGAAAATGTAACTCGTGTAGTTTAGGAGGCGAGTCTTGTGTTGGGGTATAACGTGTGTTGTCCATGCAGGTGGGTGGGCTAAGGAGGTTGTCAGGTATAAATAAACGAGTGGATTAATCTACTTGTTGGTAAGTCACAAAAAATCCCTTTACGGATATTACGTTTCGTGTGGATCTGGATTATTTTGACAGGATATATTGTTTTTGGTGTATAAGGCCATGTTGAGGGAAAAGCCACTAAACTTTACACACACACACACACACACACGCGCGCGCGCGCGCTCTCCCTCTCTCTTAGTGAAACATTTTGTCGCCAATAAGCCATATTATAAAACATAGGCTATATATTACATAATTGACATTGTCACATTTATTACTATTATTACAGTGTATATATATATATATATATATATATATATATATATATATATATATATATATATATATATATATATATATATATATATATATATATAATCAGTCTTCACACATATTACTATAAATTACATACGTAGTAGTATTAAATTATATAACCTTATATTGTTCTATTATGTTAATTTGACAACGTACATTATAATTATTATATTACACTAAAGAGTCAGTGACGATTTACACTCTTCATTCCACAATAACACAGAACTTGACACTCACTGGTCTTGTGTCCTCCGAGAGTACTTTACATTAACACACTGGCAGTCAGATCACCTGTACTTAACAATGACTAACCTAATGATTTTGTGTTCACAGATCGTACTTATGACAGTTGCGACGACTCCCTGGCTGCCCCAAGAAGGTCGTCAGGGGGTCGGCGGCGCACCATCACCACCTACGCAAGAAAAGGTCTCACGACCGCTCTACCTTCAGCACGGGGCGACGTGACGGCGTGGGCACGGCTCACACCACTCCAGCCACTCTGCACGCCACTCGCGACGCTCCATCCTTCGCGGACTCCACCACCACGCCCTCCAACACCTGTCACGTCTTTCCCGACATTGAGCTAGACTCCACCGACGCCTCCAATGCCATGCCGTCGCTACATATGGTAGCGTCCCACTGTCTCAGGCAATGTAGTCGTTTCAGCCTGCCGGAGGCGCAGTTAGAGTGTACCAAGGCTCGATTAAAGGACCCGGAAGCAGAGTGCGATCAGGACTGCTGCTGCCTCCATGAGTCCTCCAGTACCGCCCTGGAGCAGCTGAGGGACAGCCCCAGTAGAGGGGCAGGTGAGGAGCAGGAAGGGGGCGACATAGCGCTGAGGACACTTAAGCCTCACAGGTCCTATTCTTTAAGGCTCACTAGGAACTACAACTCCAACAGCTCTCGAGTGAGGGAACAAGACAGCAGTTTTACTAATGGGCCTTCAAAACCCCACCTTAATTGTACTGACTGCCAGTGTAAGAGTGCTCAGCGAGTCTCGGATGTGTTGGTCGACGCGAGACATAAAAATCGCTCGTCCCAAGTTAGTTCCGTGGCGGAAATCCCTGAAGTGTGCTCGAGCCTCGTAGCCCCATGTGCCTCCTGTCAATCCCAGACGTCACGGGACTCCTGCTACGACCACCAACGAGACGACGTCGAGGACGTCGAGGACGTCGCGGAGGAGGTGACTGAGTCAGGGTGCTCTGACGCGCGCTCAGAATTCGAAGAAGTTATCATCACTACTACCTGCTAGCACTGTTACTGTCGAGTTAACAGAAGGAAACAACAGATCTGGTACCTCATCCTGCTAGCTGTGTAGTCCTAATATTAACAGCTGGAGATGAGAGCAGCGCTCTTTAAGAGCCATTATCTTAACAGTACAGAAAGGGTAGTAGTGAAGAGGATGGCCAGCCTACTCTCATAACAAGAGCAGGAGTTCATTGCCTTCTCATCCCTCTCTTCCACAATTCTTGCAGTGGCTCGCATCCTCAGTACTTCAAGCATCCTCAGAGACAAGACAGTGAGGGCTGCCCTCTATGCTCTGACCCGGGAACCCCACGTCTCAGACCACATGGGCCTTCACCTCACCTCTAAAATTAAGCTCGTCCGACAATTTAAGTGTTTTTAAACAGTCTTTAGTGACGACTCTTGACAACAGATGTGGCCAGTTCGTGCTGTTCAGGACTCGGGAAAGAGTCATAAGATATGTAAAAAGCAAAAAAAAAAACATTAAGGTTTATGTCAAAAATTTCTTAGGCTAGTGTGTGATATTTCTACACGTTCTTAGTGTCAGTGAGCTGTAAGTAATCCGCCTTTTGAGATTGAATCCCCTTGTTGGATTTAGACCAATATATCTATTTCTTTTTTGAGATGTCGCTTATTAAAATATACATGATTGTAAATGTCGCTATCGTAAAAACTTTACTTCTAAACTAAATTACAAAAGACATGAGAAGGCCAAGAGGATGTCCAGCAGTTACATAAAATATTGGTTTAAAAAGAAAATTTAAATATTCCACAATTTTTCCCATTCTCAGAGGAATTCAATTCATAATATTCTAGTTTCTTCTTTTCAATAATAACCAAATTTGGCGATAAATTTAAGCCTATCTCGATTATAGTAAAAAATAAATAAAAATATATGGTTTTATCGAGAAGCAAAATTTTCCTGTAAATTTGTTATTTTCTTTGGTGGTAATAGATAACATGGGTCTGGATTTATAGACTACCTGAAGACGATAAGAAACTACCTGTGTGGGTGAGGTGACCTACTCACCTTACTCCAACACTGTCCAGTAAGTCACTATGTGTATGTCAAAAACCATTACATTAACAATAATAATAAAAAGCGTTATCAGTCTTCACAATAGATGAGGTACAGGTAATTACACCAATGGACACCAAAGCATTCGCTTATATCGCCACAACAACCATCACCACCGCAACCATTACCCCCAACAACCATCACCACTGCAACCATCACTGCCGCAACCATCACCACAACAACCATCACCACAACAACCACCACCACAACAACCATTACCACAACAACCATCACCACAACAACCATCACCACAACAACCATCACCACAACAACCATCACCACTGCAACCATCACCTCAACAACCATCACCACAACAACCATCACCTCAACAACCATCACCACAACAACCATCACCTCAACAACCATCACCACAACAACCATCACCACAACAACCATCACCACAGAAACCATCACCACAACAACCATCACCACAGCATCCAGGAGCATCATAAAACAACACTACCATCAACACACTATCAACTGACGCACCACAACAATCGATCAGCTGACGCACCACAACAATCGATCAGCTGACGCACCACAATAATCCGCTACGTGTGATATTGTACCTCATTACTGTTGATCATAACCTTGATAAGACTAAACTAGCATACATACTAATTATCGTTCAGGCCTTAACTGTAGACACCTTATAGAGTATTACTATGATTAATTATTACTGGTAGAACAACGCTGTTACAGCCATCAGTACAAACTGTGATAGGAACGTCAGATCATAACGATACAGTATAATAGTCCCGATATATTTTCTTTTCCTTTTTTCGTGAAGTCATTCTTGTAGGAGATATTAGGTGTTAAAGTAGAGCAGCAGTTCATTTCCTCTTTATATCTTGACGAGTTCGTGTTTATATGAGACTACGTGTGTGTTTTAAAAGCTGTAATTATTGTTTTTCATTTCAACTGTTTGTCAGTCAACGGCAGAGATTTTATAACAACTGGAAAGACAAAAACTGGCATTATTTACCCTAAGAAAATAAGATTACAGTATAGCTATATTCAAATATATCTGTTAATATATATATATATATATATATATATATATATATATATATATATATATATATATATATATATATATATATATATATATATAAATATAAATCGTATATCTATATTATATAGTTGTATCATTGAGATGTATATGTTGAATAACTAAATAATATGGTTGTATTCGCTATATTTGTTGAGACGTGCGTGTTGATGAGGGCACTGCCAGACAGTCAGTTGGTCCTGGGATCCTCTCATCACTTGATATATAGACACAATTTGTAAAATATATCTTACACTATAATTTGTCTAACAGGAGCTATGTAATGAGGTGTTTACAGCAATTGGCAGCGACAAAAAACTTGCAAATTATCCTGAGCATAAAACTTACGAGACACATCATAATACATATACACATATATACTGTACTGTGTATACACATATAGGGAGTACCGCCTCTGGTTAGTTCGGGGACCACAACCTATAGGAAGGAAATAATATAATTCATGGAAAACTGGGATCATTTTCCCTGACTGCATAATAGCAAGAAAATAAGTATTACCTTCCCTACCACTCCCTGTCATAATATATATATATATATATATAAACACTAAATAAGGATACTTGCCGATAACGATAACTTCTATATATTTATCTTATTTTTTTTTTTTTTTTTTTTTAAAGGAGGGGGGGGGTTTCTGACTGGCCATAAACTATCATGTAGATCATCAAAATACAAATAAATGAAATGTTTTATGCAAACCTAACTTAACTTAACCTACTTTAGGTGTAATTTTGAATTTCATGGTGGTACAACGCATTAAATGAAAAAGAGTAAATTTTACCACATACGATTAAATATCCATTAAGTACAAAAATTAAAAATAAATCCCTATCCCTATTTGGCAAAAAAGTCAATTGGTTTTTAAAGCTTAATCGACGATTATCCCTATATAGCGTGACACACACACACACATATAGTATACAGTATGTCAAAGTGTACAGAATAAAGAATATTTTCACTTCTTGTCAACAGTATCGACACAATAACCAACACCAATTTTCATGGTAAAATTCGTATTATCTTATATATGATGATTTTTTTTCAGAAAATGTGGCTGCTTAAAAGAAATAACAAAAAATATAATAAAAATAATAATAATAATAATAAAAATATTAATAATAATAATAATAATAATAATAATAATAATAATAATAATAATAATAATAACAACAATAACACTCCACCCAACTCTAAATTAAAACAAAGAGAAAGGTACCCATAACGCGATGAAGACCTTTTCATTTTGTTTGTGTCAATTGCTTATTTTTTCGATTATAAGATCCTTGTTTGGTATCTATTGGGAGACGGGTGCCAAACGATGACTTTATAAGAACCTAAACAAGCCATTTAAATGACCCTTGAAATTACCCTAAAATCATCCCTAATTTTTTTCCAGAGAGCAAATATTTCCCCAGGTATAATGTTAGTTAGTTGTTAGGAGATTGACAACGAGTTCGGTTCACTGATGTCGAAGATCTGACAAGAGTTCGGATAGTTGGTAGTAAGAACTGACATTAGATATTATAGTTCAAGAATGCAAACAAGCCTAGTCACACATCGGGTATGACATTAACCGACTGTCATAATTCGGACACATAACTGAATATATTAATTCGGATAAATGACAACGGATGAGGGTTAAAATAAAACAAAAATCCGTAGTGGTAACTTGAACAAGAATCTCAGGATACGGATGACAGAATAACCGGACGTTGGAGTTCGTACACTAACAAATACAGTATGTGAAAATTATAGAAAATGTGAAATGAAGTTGAAATAAAATATCATTATTGACTTGTATTTAATCATATTAGACCAAATATTATTAGATGAAATCCACTAATAACCTAATCCTAACCTAACCTAACTCACATAACATGGATCGTGTATTAGAGAGAGAGAGAGAGTGTTGGCTGAGAAAGAATAATTGTGTTCGTGGCTGCTCAGTGAGGTTATTTGGCCATATTTTTCACGTTGAGAGGCTGTGTCGTGGTGCCAGTGTGTGTGTGTGTATGAGGGGGTACGTAACCGTCGTATTTATCAGAAACTCGCTGCTGGTTCCCGCCCTAAACGCTGTTATACTCCTCGTGCGCCAAAACAAAATAAGGGCGATATGTTTTGAAGATCTGACCATTGTAAGAGAAAACCTGAGAATTCTGTTACAAAAGCGTCGGGTTCTTTAAAGATAGAGAGAGGCTTTGCCTTTACTTCCTTCTTACGAGTTTTGATGATGCTGGGTCATGGGCTGTTAGGGCGTGAACCAACCAACTGTTTGTTTATATATTATACAGTATATAAAACGATAATAATAATACAAATGATAATAATTCTAACTATCCCTAATTAAAGAGCGTTTATTAACCGTATAAGGAAGAACCAGGAGACGAGTATTTACATTCAATTACGTCAGCTTCCACTAACGAAGAATAAGAAGAAGAAAATGAGGAAGAAGTAGAAGAAGAAGATGATGATCATGATGAAGAAGAAGAGGAGGAGTTTAGACGTTATATGGTACATTCCCTATTCATTAAGTGTAAAAAGTGTTGAAGATAATATAGAAGAAGAGGTGTATAAGTGTATGGGAGAACAGCAATGGGTTCTCTTACTTATAGATGTATAATTCTACTCTGTATAATGTGAACAATTTATATTTTAGTTGTACCCAAAGTAGAGCCGTGCGCTGTTTTCTGTCCCTACACAAAAAATTATATTTATGGATTTATATTGGCAAAGATATATTTATATATGTGTGTGTATTAATTGTTTACCCATCCAGTGAATTGTATATACCCTTATAAATATATATACAGTTAAAGGTGTAGTGACAATAACAGAAGAAAGAAAATTAAAATCAACATCATCCTCCTCTGTGTGAAAATGACTTTGATATTTTTGTAATGTTGACGTGAGTGTTCGGTGTTAAGGAATAAATATCTTTATTAACTTGATGTTTTATTCAACCTTGTAAACATAAAGTGTGATGTTTATTACCACAGTACCACACCACCAGCATCAACATTAAAGTTGCCTTTTGTTCCTAATACACGCCATATGTACTGTGTTAGTGTGGAAATACACACTAAATAGGCTGTTTATTCTGGAATATATAATCAGGTTCAAATATACAGGGTGTCGCAGAAAAATGTACACACACACACACACATACTACTACTACTACTACTAATTTGCTGTCACTCGGAATCGAGTATGGCGATCATCCAGCTATGACACAATGATATGAGTTATTAGGGATGTCACCTACTGTAGGTTGGGGAGTTTTGAGGTGACGAAAGAGGCCGATACGGGACCCGCAGCGTCGTTCACAATTCGTTGCACATGTGGAGGGCTGCATCTAGTACGGGAGGTGGCAGCGTCTTTCCGGCGTTGGCGCTTATCTGCCTCGGTTTGCAGTCGGACTAACTCGAAAGTATTGACACCTTCTCAAGTGGTACTCCTCCAAGTGTTACGATGTGGAGTAATCGACTCCCAGGTGAGGGGGTCGATTTGGCACTTTTTCAGGTTTGTCTTAAGACTATCCTTATACCTTTTCAATTGCCCGCCGGCATTACGTTTACTATTCGTTAGGTGGCTGTAAAGTAGCTGCTTTGGCAGTCTACTGTCGTCTATGCGGGTAACATGGCCAGTCCAGCGTGGTTGTTCATGGATAATGGTAGCCTCGATGCTCCTACAGTTGGTGTCAGCAAGAATACTGACATTTGTTCTCTTGTCTTCCCATCGAACACGGAGGATGGAACGTAGATTACGTTGAACAAAGTTTTCAAGTGCCTTGAGATGCTTCCTGTATGTAACCCACGTCTCACTGTCATATTGCAGGGTGGGGAGGACTACTGCTCGATATAAGTGCAGCTTTGTTGATAATTTCAACTCCCTACAGCTGAAGACACGGTTTCGGAGTCTGCCAAAGGCTTGAGATATACTCTGTACATCTGATCCGATGCTGAATCTCTTCGTCGATGCTGCGGTGGTGGACAGGTGGGAGCCGAGATACCGAAAGTGGGTAACATTAGAGAGGGTAGTGCCGTTAAGCTGGGTGGATTGTGGATGTGTGTCTAAACCAGGGGCAGGTTGAAAGAGAATC